AGCCGCCTATCTGATAATGCTTGTGTTGTGAAAAAGTGCTTTGGAAGTTGTGAAACACTCCACCGATATTTATTTTTGTGGTTGTCTCGTCTGGAGCCGGTGTGCTTAGCTGTCTCAGATGCTTTCCCGAGACCCTAGGAAATCTGTCCAGAGGATGTGAGGGCACCAGGTGGCCGGGCATTGGGCTGCACACCTGGCCTCTGAGTCTCCCACCCTGGACCTTTTCCCCGGAGCCAGGGTGGAGGGGAGGCTGTTGGGCTGTCACTCAGCCCGGCTCTGGGGACTTCAGGAACAGGAGCTGCTTGTGCCCGCCCACCCGCCGCCTGCCTGCTGCAGGGCCTGGAGCCGCCTCTGGGAGAGGAAGTGCAGTTGGTTACCAGTCGGGTTATTTTCATAACGGCTCTCAGGCTCGGGGAGGCGGGGGAGGGGGCAGAGGCACAGCCACCGCAGCTCGCAGCTCTCCAAACTAGGACTTGCTCAGCCAGAGGCAACACGAGTGGGAGCAGAGCCGGGCTTGCCCGCCTTGGGGACCACGGCCCCACCTGCTTGCCCACCTCCTGCCTGCTGCCCTGCCTTCCAGATCAGGTCAAAAGGGGTTCCCCCTCCCTTGCTTCCTTTCTGCTTCCTCCCTCCTGTATCTGCTGGGGTGGGCGTGGGGAGGGGTGGGTCAGGGTGGGTCCAGGAACCACCATCCTTAGATGAGGGTCTCGCTGTGCCAGGCTTCTGAAGCTGATGGAAAAGGAAAGGGAAAGGACAAGGGGCAGGTCAGGCTCCTGTCCCCAAGCCAGGGAGGCCTGGGAGGTAAACATTAACTGGCCTGGCCACCTTTTCTACCCCCTGCCTAGCCTGACCCTGCAGCCACAGCCTAGCTGCCCCCGCTGTCCATCTCTGCCCTGTTCTTAGCAGCATCCCTTTAGTGGGTAGAGGCCTTGGGGTAGTCAGGACCCCGCCTCACCAGCCCCCAGGCTGGCCTGGGATGTGCAGGCTTTCCCTCCAGCTGTCTCCACCTCCTTCCCTCCGACAGGACCACAGGGCTGTGGGAGCGGAGCAGTCCGCGGTGGCTTCTGGCCAGCATCCTCTTGGGGAGGAAGCTCCAGACCCTTGCTCTGGGGCTGCTGGAAGGGGCCACCATGCACCATTCCCAGCCTTCGCTGAGCAGAGGGGCACTGGGACCCTGCCCACAGCATGCAGTAGACACTCTGTGGAATCCCACAGGGTGTCTTGTGCCAACCCCTCTGGAAGAATCTGTGGCCCAGGCCTGGTACCAGGGGAGGTGGGGATGCCTTGCAGCATGAGCAGATACCCAGGTAACACTGGCTGCCAGGCTCTGTTCCTGATGTGGTGGGTGGTGGGCACCCTGGGTGCTCCTGCTTCCCTTTCTTGGGTTCCCACCCCCACCGTGGGCAGAGACAAATCCCAGGAGATGGCATGATCCACATGCGCTGGTGTCTATGACAGGTGATAGACCCTGCCCTGCCCCTGCTCTGCCAGGTACCTTACATCTGTCATCTCATCAGAACCCCTCTTATGCCAACTCTCTGAAGTAGGTAGTATGAGCCCCATTTTGCAGATGAGAAAACTGAGGCTCAGAAAGTTTCGCTCATCAGCCCATGATAACACCATGGTAAATGGCAGATGCAGGATTCCAAAGACCCTAGGCTTTTCCACTTGAAACTAGCATGGTGTGTGAGGATGCTCTGGGCTCGGGGTGAGGGGTCCTGCCCTCTCTGGCCAGTAGCTGACGAAGCTGGAGTGCTCATGTACTCTCAGCTGCCTGCAGCCACACTTGCTGCTCTCCATCAGGTGTGCATGGCCAGACACCACTGTCCTGTGTCCTTCCACAGGCCCTGCCCTCTCCAGGCCCCCAACAGCCAACAGGACATTTATGGGGCCCCCTGAGCCCCTATCCATCCTGTCCACTCAGGCTTCCCCCAGCTCCCGCCACCAGCGGACCAAAGGGCAGCCATTTTGCTGGGCCATTGGTGTCGGAGCCCTGTGGGGCCTCCCCCAGTGACCTTTACGTGTGCTGTGTGGTGTGTTCGAGGTGACAGAGAGCATGAAGTGGAGAGAAGCTGTGCTCAGAGCTGCGCTCGGGGGAGAGGCTTCAGGCCTGGTTAGGGGAAGGGCCAGGAGAGGCCCGAGGCCAGGCTGACTGTGTGACCAGACCCAGGAGAAGCCTCAGCAGAGATAGGAAGTCAGGAGTCAGGCAGTTACTGACCAGAGCACAGAGGTTTCTATGGAGACCGGAGGAACAGGAAGCATGGGGCCTGGGGGAGGGGGCATCTGGGAGCACAGAGGCTCAGGGGCCTGGCAGGAGAACTGGTCATACACTGTCATATTAGCCAGTCCGACAGCCTCCCCAGACAAACAAGGAAACTGAGGCCCACAAGGGGACAGCTTTACACATAGGCACACAACATTGGCCTAGCTGGCCTTGCTATCCACTGGGAGTGACTGCACCTTGGGGCAGCCAAGGAGGCCCTGGACAGCTGTGGGCTCAGGCTACCCTGGCAGCGTGCAGGACAGCATGCTGTGGCAGTATCTGTAAGCTACCACCTGTGTCATGAGGCAGTGTGTGCAGGTACCCTCTTCCTGTTGGCCCCCTTGCCAATGTGGGTCTGGGGTAGCAGGCAGGCCCAGCCCTCGCCACCACCCACAGAGCACCGGCAGCACCTCCCCCACACTGACTGTGGCCTTTTGTTTTCTGGGTGACACTAGCATCAGGCAGTGTGTCCGGGTGACTAATCTCCTCCGGGCTGGGCGGCTGTCACAGGGCAGCCTGACCAGCCGGGCGGGGAAAGCTGACACCCTGGGGTAGCTCTGGCCAGCTAGTGTCCTGGCAGCAGTGGGCAGGCGGGCCTTCCAGCTCCTCTTCCCTGGATGCAGAGCTGACCCCTAGGCAGGACTGACCCCGGCCAGCCCAGCGAGCAGAGTCAAGTTAGACAGACCTGACTCAGGTCGCAGCTCTGCCCCCTGACTGGCCTCTTGACCTTGGTCATGTTATCGCACCTCTTCAGGCCTGTTTCCTCTTCTCTGTGACAGAGCTCTTGGTCCTACCTATCTTACAGGGTTGTGGTGGGGATCAAATGAGATGATAAAGTGCTCAGCCCAGGGCCCTTCACACAATAGGTGTAAAGTAAATGGGCAGTTACTATTATTGTGGTTCCCTTCCCTACCCCATTCCCGCCCCATCTCTGGGCTGCAGGGGGCAGGCTTTACCCTCAGATAGACTTGTGTTCTACATTGCCTCCACCACTGTGGACTTTGGGTAAGTTACCTCTCTGTACCTCAATTTCCTCATCAGGAACATGGAGTACCACGGTACCTGTTCCTCAGACTTAGCACAGTGCCAGACTCAGCAAACGTCAGCCATGATGATATGGATTTTAGGAGGGAGCCATGTTCTCTGCCTGCCAGCTCTCCCACCCCCACTCACTGCCCTGTCCTTCTTTCTCCCTATCATCTGCAGCGGCTGGGGGGCGTAACAGGCAGGGACAAGAGCCAGTTAGTCTCCAACACTGCTTCCCCAGGCATGGCTGCCTCCACTGCCCACTGGTGACGGGAGCCAGACACCTCGGCCCTGTCCACCTCTCCTCAGTTCCCCTGTACCGTCCAGGGCCCAGGCCCGAAGCCACCAGCACAGACCCACAGCCTCAGTAGCAAATCAAAACAGTGAGTGGGAGGAAGAGGAAGCGCTAGACATGCAGGCTGAGCCTGACTCCAGGCGCGTTCCTATTGCCGCTGAGTCGATTCCACCTCATAGTAACCCTATAGGGAAGAGTAGAATTGTCCCCCTAGGGTTTCCTAGGCTGTAATCTTTACGGAAGCAGATCACCAGATCGTTTCTCCCTTGGAGCAGCTAGTCAGTTTGAACCACCAGTCTTTGAGTTAGCAGCCGAGTGCTTAACCACTGCACCACTGGGGCTCCTTCCAAACCCATGTAGCTCTGCCTTAATCTCCCCTCCTCCCCACCATTTGTCCAGGGTACCCACCCACCATGCCTAATTCCTGCAGAGCTATTTCTCCTGTTAGCCCCAGGCAGCAGAGCCCTGGTAGCACAGTGGTTAAGAGCTCACCTGCTAACCAAAAGGTCGAATCCACCAGCCACTCCTTGGAAACCCTGTGGGACGGTTCTACTCTGTCCTGCAGGTTTGCTATGAGTCCGAATCAACTCGATGGCACACAAGAACAACAGCCCCAGGCAGCATGGCTGTGGCTGTGACTCTGACCTCCCTGTGGCTGCCAGGGGCTAGAATGCACCCCCCGCCCCGGGTCAGGGCCCAGAGCATCTGATGGTGGGACACAGGGAATCTGCCGTTGAGCCCACTGGAGGCATTGCCACCCTAAACCGTACCAGGCTTCCTGCCTTGCCCCAACTGTGAGGGAGAGGCAGGTGCTTAGGACACTGATCCGCGTGGTCTGTGCAGAAGGGAGGGGCTGGGAGTAAGTGAGCTGGGGAAGGAAAGGAGCGAGCATTCTCCAGAACAGTTGAGGGAGGGTGGTGGGAGCAAGGATGGCCCCCAGAGGCCCTGCCTCCAGGAGGGAGCATGCAGCTCCCTGTTAGGAAGTTTGAGAGCCGGGGCACAGGCTCCACTGGCAGAGCTGGAAGGGCTGCAGACATCAGCCAATACTCTCACACATGGAATGTCCGTACTATGCCTCTAACTTAGAAATGTGAGACATTTGTGCAAAAAAGTTCCTTCTGTCAGTGCCTCTGAGACACGCCCACACACACCCAGAATGCTTTTCTTTTGTTGCTTCCCATACAAAGTCCCCTGGTGAAGACCATGGTGGCCTCTTCCCCCAGCCACTCCTCGGTTTGCTGAGGGTCTTATTTCCTCAAGGCCCTTTGGTCCCTAAGTCAGATGCCAGACCCTCTCCATTTCCCAGTGCCTTTCTCAGCCTGACCCCTGGACTGGGGCTCAGTGAGTCTAGGGTCGCCTCAGGCCTGAGTTGCTTTTCAGAGAGACTCATTTTACTCTCGTGGCCTGGTTTATGCCATATCCCAGGGGAAACCTAACCTGCCCCATATAGGTGGCTAAGCCAAGGCCCGACAAGAGGCGAAGAATTGCCCTAGGCCCCCAGGCTGTCTGGGGCAACTAAGAACTGGAGCCCAGGATTCCAGCTCCCAGCTTCCTTTTTCTTTTCCATCAGCTTCTGGCAAGAGCGTTGAGGTCCTTTAGGCCCAGGGCTTTGTGGATGATGGTGCCTGGACAGAGGAAGCCAGGGTGGGTAGCCAAAAGCCCCCTCCTACTTATTACTCCTGGGGCAGCCAAGGAATATAACATGGGCTAAGCATCAGCACTTCTAACAGCTGTAAATGTGGGCTCACCTGAGAATTCCCCGGGACCCTTGAACACTCCATTTATGGAGGTGAGAGGCCATAGTTGCCCCCTCCCGCCCCCATTCCAAATGTCCCATCTCTGCTCACAGAGAATGGGTTGTGAAGGGGCTCCTGGGTGCAGGATGGGCCATGGCCTGGCCACACTCCTGATGCTTTGGTCTCTGTGCCCAACAGCCGCCGCCTGTCCCTGCCATGGAGACCTTCTTTAGGAGACACTTCCAGAGGAAGGCACGAGGCTCTGGAGAGGGGCAGCGGCGGCCCAGCGGAGTGGGGTTTCCCACTGGCAAGGCCCAGCGCCGTTCCCCTGTCGGTCAGGCCTCCTCCTCACTGGCCCAGCGGCGCCGCTCCAGCTCACAGCTCCAGGGCTGCCTCCTGGGCTGCAGGGTGGGGGCCCGGGGCAGCCGCCGGCGCTCCAGCACTGTCCCCCCGGCCTGCAACCCCCGCTTCACCGTGGATGAGGTCACCACCCCCCAGTCTGCTACTGTCAGGGCCCCGCTCCTGGGTGTGCCCCTGCTGCAGGCCAGGCTTGTGGGCATGAAAGAGGAGGAGAAGGAGGATGTCGCAGCTAGGGCATCGAGTGCCACCCAGCCAGGCACCAAGAGACCAGGGTCACCCCCACACCTGGGCGCCTGCCCACTGCTTCCAGTGCCCCGTTACCTTCGCCGGCGCCAAGCCTCCCCACACCTGCTCCCTGCTGATGTGGTCTACGACCACACCTTCTGGGGCCTGCATGGCTGCTATCGTCGCCTCAGCCAGCGTCGGCCCTCGGGTCATCACCTTGGCCCTGGAGGCCGAAGAGCCTCAGGCACCATGGCCAGCCCCGTGTTACCCACCTCTGTGCGCCAGCTGTCCCGCAGGCGCCAGGTAGCCCTACGGCGCAAGTCGGTCGGACCCCAGGCCTGGAGCGCCCTGCTTGTGTAGGTATAGCCTCGGCCAGCAAGGCGAGTGTTTTGGCCCCAAGGGGCCTGACTGGGCCAGGCCCATACCACTCTGTCTGACCTGCAGGTGCCACCCAGGAACAGTTCCAGGCAGCTCCCTGGAGCCAGTACACCCTGGAAGGGCCGCAAGAGGGGCTGTGTCTCCTGCGGGGAGCCTGTCAGAGTCTTGGGCTCTGTGGGGTCCTCTCCCCTCCCTGCTGCAGTCCCTTTCTTGGCCTTGGGTTGAGCTGAGATCCCAGGTGGTGGGGAAGGAAGCAGACAGCGAGTGCTCAGCTGACCCCGGGCCTCAGCTGTCTCCTTTCCTGTAGGAAAGCCATCACCAAGTCCGGCCTCCCACACCTGGCCCTCCCTCCGCCCACACCCGGAGCCTTGTGTGGCGAGTCCGAGCGGCAGATCCGGAGCACTGTGGACTGGAGTGTGAGTGGTGGGATGCTGGGTACTGGCCCCTGCTGGGCAGGGGAGGGGCCAGAGGGACTGTGGGCACTGGGAAAGGAGGAGGGGGGTTTGCAGGGGAGGGGCAGGCCTGCAGGGGTTGGCTGCATTTGTGCCAAGGCTTAAAGAGTAGTGAAAACAGGACTGAGCAAAGTAGATCCTGGCTGCTGCAGCTGGAGGAGAGAGGGTGGAAGGGGCAGGGTGGGGGCAGATTGGTGGGCTAGGCGGCAGGCTTGCACTGAGCACGCTCCTCCTGTGGTCTAGGAATCGGCGGCATATGGGGAGCACATCTGGTTTGAGACCAACGTTTCTGGGGACTTCTGCTATGTTGGGGAGCAGTACTGTGTAGCTAAAATGCTGGTGAGTGAGCTCGGTGTGGCGTACTGCCCCCTGGTGGTGAAGCAGGGTCTAGAAGCCTGCTGGCCTGATGTTACAGCCCTTCCAGGGAAGGGGGGACAGTCTCCAACCTGAGTGCCCCAGCTGTGCGCTGCCCCAGGATGGTGAGGGGAATGAGGGCTTTGTCTTGTCTTGTTGCCAGGAGCCAGGACTGGAGGCTCCCGGTACAAAGGAGGCCACTGTGCTGGGGCACCTTGAGGTTTCTCTGCCTGCTCAGGGGCAGGCCCTGGATGGAGTTATCAGGTGCCTCAGAGGCCCTTGCTTTCTTTCTTGCAGCAGAAATCAGTGTCAAGGAGAAAGTGTGCAGCCTGCAAGATCGTGGTGCACACGCCTTGCATCGAACAGCTGGAGAAGGTGCGTGGTAGCCCAGACTGGCATTGCCTCTCAGATACTTACCTACACACATGCACTCATGTTACACAACACAACCTGCCAGGGATCCCCCAACACCCATGGTGGTGAAGAGCCAAGGACTCTGGAGCATTCAAATCCTGGTTCCCCTCATTTATTAGCTGTGAAACATTGGCAAGTGACTTAATCTTTCTGTGCCACAGATGAACCACCTGTTAAGTGGGGGAAATCACAGCACTTACCTCGAATGGCTGTTGTGAAGATTGACTAAGATGAAGCAAGTGCATGGCCTGTCAGAAGTGCTCTACTACAAGTGTTTGCTACTGTTGGTTTTCTTTTAGCAGCTTTATTGAGATAATTTATGTGCCATACAAGTCTCCCGTTTAAAGTGTGCAATTCAGTGGCTTTTAGTATATGTTCAGAGAGTTGTGCAGTCATCACTACAATCAATTTTAGAACATTTTCATTACCCCCAAAAGAAACCATGTTCTCTTTAGCCCATCACTCCCCAATCTCTCCAGTCCCCAGTCCTAGACAACCACTAATCTACTTTCTGTTCCTCTAGATTTGCCTCTCCTAGATAATTCATATAAATGGAATCACACAATATGTGGTCTTTTGTGTCTGGCTTCTTTCACTTAGCATGTTTTCAAGGTTTATCCAGATTGTAGCATGTAGCATTTCTTTTTATCGCCAAATAATATTCCATTGTATGGATACACCACATTTTGTTTATCCATTCATCCATCAGTTGATGAACATTTGGGTTGCTTCCACTTCTTTGGCTTTTACGAATAATGCTGCTGTGAACAGTTTTGTACATGTTTTTATGTGAACATGTTTTCAATATTCTTGGGTTTATAACAAGGAGTGGAACTGCTGGGTCATATGGTAACTCTGTTTAGCTTTCTGAAGAACTGCCAGATTGTTTTCCAAAGCGGCTACACCATTACACATTCACACCAGCGATGTATGAGGGTTCTGATTTCTCCGCAACCTCACTTTATTCTGGCCATCCTAGTGGGTGTGAAGTGGTATCTCATTGTGGTTTTATTTGCATTTTCCTGATGGCTGATGATGTTGAGCATCTTGTCATCTGCTATTGGCCATTTGTATGTCTGGAGAATTGTCTATACAGATCCTCTGCCCGTTTTTTTTTTAACTGGGTTATTTGTCTTTATTATTGAGTTGTAAGAGTTCTTTATATATCCTGGATAGTAGTCACTTCTCAGATATATAATTTGCAAAAAATTTCCTATTTTGTGGGTTATGTTTTCACTTTCTTAATAGTGTCCTTTGAAGCATAAAAGTTTTTAATTATCTATTTTTGAGGTTTTGTTGCTTATGCTTCTGGTATCCTAAGAAACCATTGCCCACTGCTGTTGATTTTCATCTTGAACTTCAGCTGTAGGGGAAGCAGCAGGGTAGGGCCCTCAAAAGGGTCAGCAGCAGTACAACTTCTCCTGTGTGGCATTTTGAAAGAGGATCTTGGTGTTGTGTGCCATCAAGTCAATTCCTACTCATAGCAACACTATAGGACAGAGTAGAACTACCCCATAGGGTTTCCTGAGCTGTAATCTTTACGGGAGCAGGTTGCCAGGTCTTTTCTCCCATGGAGCAACTGGTGGGTTCCAACCACCAACCTTTCGGTAAGCAGCCAAGTGCTTAACCATTGTACCACTAGGACTCCTTAAAGGGAAATCTTAGTAGCTCTGACTCACTGTCTGGCGGTGATCCGCTTTCCTCTAGCCCTCTCATTCTCTCTACTAGAATGTGAGCTCTGGAGGGCAGGGGTTGTTGTCTGTGCAGTGCTGGATCTCCAGCACCTGGAGCAGAGCCTGGCTCAGGGTGGTATTGACTATTTCTTGAAGGGATGAATTAGTGAGTGGTGGCCATGACACCAATTTATCAACATCCAAATTAATGCTTAGAAGAGGCCCCTGACTTGCTGAGGCTTCGTAGCTCAGCAGTGGCTGGGCTGGTCCTGGGCAGCTCCAAAGCCTGTGCTCTGTCCCCTACTCGAAGCCTCTGTCAAGCCCTTTCCCCAAGGACTTTTATCCACAGTATGTCTGCAGCTGGGGGCACGTCTGGACGCTGTGCTTCTAGAGAGACATAAAGGGAACACTGGGGTGGTGGGCAGTCTGCGGTTGAGGTTAGGGGGTGGGAGGGGTGGCTGTGGACCATGAGGCCTCCCCAGCCTGTGGAAACCCAGACCAGCACATGCACACCCGAGATTCTAGGAGTGACATGAGCAAGGCTAACTTGGGCTGGTTCCCCAACCCCTGAATTATAGAGCAAGGCTTCCCTGTTGTTAGTTGCCCTCAAGTCGGTTCCTACTCATGACAACCACGTGTGTGCAGAGTAGTGCTTCATAGGGTTTTCAAGGCTGTGGAGGGCGAGAAAGAATATAAAGATAGTAAACCGTGGTCCCATTTTAGTGGATGTAAAACTCTGTTCCTCACCTGGGATACTGGGCAGAAAGTTGTGGGGGGGAGAGGAAGGAAAGAGTCCTTTTGGCTGGTGGGGAGGAGGCAGGAACACAGGAGGGCTTCCCAAAGGAGGTATCTCACATTCCCAGGGTTCCCAGGATGAACTGGGGCTAATCCTACCATGTGAGGATGACTCTGAGTGACCCTTTCCTGGAGGGGTGGCCGTATGGCCGACCCCGAAGAGAGGTTCTGACATTTGGGTGGTCATTGCAATGTTTCACAGATAAATTTCCGCTGTAAGCCATCTTTCCGGGAATCAGGCTCCAGGAACGTCCGTGAGGTAAGTGCCCATGGTGGGTTGGGGCAAGGAGGCCCACGTTTTTCAAGTGGACCTCTCTGCAGTGCCTCCAGAGTGCCACCACGGGGCTCGGCTCCTTCCAGCTGCTCGAGGGTCCTGGGAGGTACAAGGCTGAGGCTCCGAGAAGGTCTCCCAAAGGGGGAAGACTGGCTGCAGGAGAAGGGGGTGGGGCACAGCTTGCCTTCTTGGCCCTCCTAGCTCTCTCTGCCAAATTGTGTGCCGCCCTGGGGAAGTCACATCCCTCTCAGAGTCTCAGCCTTGCCTGTGGGCCTTGGAGAGAAATCTTCAGCCCCTCTCACCTCACCCATAGGACTGCACCGTTGACATATCGAGGGTGGTGGGCCGTGCTTAGGGCTCGTGCCCTCCCCACACACCCCCTCCCCCCAGTGATATTTCTTCCTCCCCAGCCCACTTTTGTGCGTCACCACTGGGTACACCGGCGGCGCCAGGATGGCAAGTGTCGGCACTGTGGGAAGGTGAGAGGCCCTGTTGGCCTGGTGGCCCCAAATCCCATGCTGTGTGGACAGTGTGGCCTGTGTGTCGTGACTGTGACACCGGAGCACAGGGGCTGGGGCTCACTCAGCTTGACACCCAGCTGAGTCCCAAACCACCATGGCCCCACTCTTGTCCCTGGGCTAAGAGGAGGGCAAGGAGGGTGGGAAGTTCCTTCTAGTGCAATGCGTCTGGACTGCTTTGAGGCCATGGGTGGTCCCTTTGAGAATCGGATAGACTTTCTCACCTGTTCGGCTCAGCAGATGCTCGCCCGCAGCCCGTTGTATACCAAGCACCGAGCGGGGCAGCGGTGCTGCCCTCTGGAGGCCGGTGTAGCTGGCAGGCCGACATTGCAGCTGAGCTGCCCTAGCATAGGTGTGATTGTTTTGTTCACTTGGCGGTTGTCGAGTCTTGTCTGGCTCCCTCAGGAAGTGTAAGCTCTGAAAGGTGTCAGGGCCTTGTCTCCCTTTTTCCGTTTCTTCCCAGCGCCCAGAAGAGTGCCTGGCACACAGGCCCTCAATAAGTGTTTGTGGAATGAGCAAGGAAATGAATGTGAAAGGTACTATAAAGAAGCACTTTAAGAGCACACGGGGGTCTGGCTAGGTCTGGGGGTCCGGACCCTGAGTTAGGCAGGAGTTAGCCTGCACATCCTGTCCAGCAGAGCGCGTGTGCACGCACACTCCTAGCGCTTTGCAGCTAACTTCAGAAAGGCATGGGCCCCTGGTTAAGCACCCCTGCTCAAGGACTTATTTTATGGTGTTAAATTTTTTAAAACATGCTCAATTTCCCTAGTTGGAGAGAGGTTGGCACCGGCGCAGGGCTGAGTCTGCTACTCTAGGCCTGGCACCCCGGTACCCAACTGTCCTGTCCACCCTTAGGGCTTCCAGCAGAAGTTCACGTTCCACAGCAAGGAGATTGTGGCCATCAGTTGTTCCTGGTGCAAACAAGCTGTGAGTGGGGCCCCCCATCCCTGCAGCTGTCCCTGGGCTTGGGTCCCAGGGTCTTGGCTTGGCCTGGCTCAGCCTCGCAACCCTCCCCTCTAGTACCACAGCAAGGTGTCCTGCTTCATGCTGCAGCAGATTGAGGAGCCCTGCTCCCTGGGCGTCCACGCTGCCGTGGTCATCCCACCCACCTGGATCCTCCGTGCCCGTAGGCCCCAAGTGAGTCCTGCCTGCACCCTTAGCACTGCTGCTCCCACCCACTTAGGGTCTCCCAGCCTACCCACCTTGTCACCAACGCCTCTACTCCTCTTGCAGAATACCCTCAAAGCGAGCAAGAAGAAAAAGAGAGCATCCTTCAAGAGGAAATCAAGCAAGAAAGGGCCTGAGGTTAGACCTGGGGCTGGCAGGCAGTTGGAAGGGGAACAGGTGAAAGGGGTCCATTTCTCAGAACTCTGAGCCTCTGGGGCTGGGGCTGCCAGCTCAGCCTTTGTGGGGTCGGTTTGGGCTTTGAGGACCCCGAGGAGGGTGGGCGATTAGATCTGGGTCGCCTCTCTATGGCTGGACCCACCAAAGGTCAGACCCCAGAGGTGGTACATGAGGATGGGTGGAGCGGGTAGAGTGTCACCCTGGGGACTGCTGGGATGGGGGCTGGGTCCTCCAGGACAGGAAGGAGCCTTATAGCTCTCTGTGTCTCCAAGGAGGGCCGTTGGAGACCTTTCATCATCAGGCCCACCCCATCCCCACTCATGAAGCCCCTACTGGTGTTTGTGAACCCCAAGAGTGGGGGCAACCAGGTAGGTGCAGCCTCCCCTCTCCACTGAGAGCCATGGGGTGGGGTTGGGTTCAAGCCCACCTGCCGGCAGCTCTGCTTAGGCTCCATTTCAGGTGTCTGCCCCATTCCCTCTTTCCCAGGCAGGGGTCCTAGGAAGTCCTAGCCTGTATCTATCCTTTCTGGGCCCAGCCCCACAGCCACGTCCTTCTCCCCCTTGCTCCTCTACCCTGACTGCCTCCTTCCTCTCCCTCTTTCCATCCCCAACACCTCCTGGCTCCTGCTCCCCCACAGGGCGCTAAGATCATCCAGTCCTTCCTCTGGTACCTCAATCCCCGCCAAGTCTTTGACCTGAGCCAGGGAGGGCCCAAAGAGGCGTGAGTAATTGCCGAGGTTCCAGGGGGCGGTGGAGGGCTGACCTGGCTCTCACAGCACACACACCCTGACCCTGTGCCTGTCTCCCTGACCCCAGGCTGGAGATGTACCGCAAAGTGCACAACCTGCGGATCCTGGCCTGCGGAGGCGACGGCACGGTAGGTGATCCTTCTGGGGCCACGGGGTCTGGGCTGTAGCCTGGGCCTCCCACGGGGCCTGACAAGCCTCCCGCTCTGCCCACCTCAGGTCGGCTGGATTCTCTCCACCCTGGACCAGCTGCGCTTGAAACCACCACCCCCTGTTGCCATTCTACCTCTGGGTACTGGCAACGACTTGGCCCGTACCCTCAACTGGGGTGGGGTAAGAGCCCACAGGAGGGTGGGCCAGCTGGGGGCCGGCCACACGGCAGGGGCATCTCCAACCACGGCGGCTGCTCAGTTCCTGCTTCCTCCCACCAGGGCTATACAGATGAGCCCGTATCCAAGATCCTCTCCCACGTAGAAGAGGGAAATGTGGTGCAGCTTGACCGCTGGGACCTCCAAGCTGAGCCCAACCCCGAGGCCGGGCCTGAGGAGCGTGACGAGGGTGCCACTGACCGGGTGGGTCAGCCAGGGCAGGGCAGGGGTGTTGGGGTAGTCACCATGCTCAGGACTTGGTGTCTGGGGCTCCTGGGGACTCCACTGTCCCTCTCACTGGTGGGTCTTTATCTCTTGGGCAAGTGTCTTTACCACTCCAAACTTCGCTGTTTCATCTGTATGGTGGGAATTATGGTGCTCACCTCACAAGAGGCTTGTTCATCCAACCCTCAGCACCTCTTTACTGAGTACCTACTACTTGTCAGGCCTTGTAAGCAGTGAACAAAACGCAGTACCTGCTCTGGTGGGGCTTTTACAAGACAGACATGTCAGGAACAGTGCTGTGGAGGGAAACAGCTGAGGAGATGGTGCTGGCAGGGAGCTGGGTGCCCTTTTACCCCAGGCGCTTAGGGAAGCCTCCCTGAGAAGCTAAGAGTGGAGCAGGGCAGAGCCTGATGTGGCGGGAAGGGCAGGTGAGCTGAGGGCAATAGCTTCCAGGTGACGGGGGCTTTGTTAACTGTGCTGGGAGAAAGGTCCTGAAAAGCACTGGGTGGGCAGGGCTCCAGGAGGGTGTGGGGCTGGGAGACCCCGCCCTCATCTTCGTCCCTTGACCTTTTCCAGCTGCCCCTGGATGTCTTCAACAACTACTTCAGCCTGGGCTTTGATGCCCACGTCACCCTGGAGTTTCACGAGTCACGAGGTTGGCAGCCTTGGGAGGCCAGGGAGGGAGGGGGCACAGGAGTGTCCCGAGGAGAGTCAGACTTGCCCCCACCAGTGAAAGACAGTCATTCCCAGCCCTGTGTCCTCACCCCAACCTGGGAGCATGGCTAACTGTCCCTCTTTTCTTGTCTCCACCCAGAGGCGAACCCGGAGAAGTTCAATAGCCGCTTTCGGAACAAGATGTTCTATGCAGGGGTGAGTCTGGGGCCTGCCAGCACCGCCCTCCCATACCCACCTTTTCTACCACCCATGCCCCCTGCCCCCTGTATCTGCCAGGCTGCAGGATCTCTGCCTGGGCAATGGTGAGGGAAGGTCCCTGTCACCAGATGGTGACGCCTCTGCCTCCCACAGACAGCCTTCTCCGACTTCCTGATGGGCAGCTCCAAGGACTTGGCTAAGCACATCCGAGTGGTGGTGAGCAGGGCAAGGCCAGCAGGCAGCGCGGGGGGCAGCAGGGAGGAGGAGGAGGACGCCTCTGCATGTTACCCCCGACCCCCACCCTCGTTCTCACCACCAGTGTGATGGAATGGACCTGACCTCCAAGATTCAGGAGCTGAAACCCCAGTGCATCGTTTTCCTCAACATCCCCAGGTGAGGATGGCAGGCTGGGCTGGGGGGGCCTGCTGTCTCCATCCTGCAGAGAGACTGGCCTCTGAAACCTTGCTGCCCTCTCTCCAGGTACTGTGCGGGCACCATGCCCTGGGGCCACCCTGGGGAGCACCACGACTTTGAGCCCCAGCGGCACGATGATGGCTACCTCGAGGTCATTGGCTTCACCATGACGTCCCTGGTGAGTGGGCAAGTATGGGGCCTGCCTGGAAGCCCTGGCTGTACTGTGCCAGCTTCCTGAAGATGGAAGGGAGGGTCATCCGCACTCCCCTTGGTTGGCCAGGATGGAGGGTTCACCCTCCCCTCCCCTCTCTGGCTGGGGACCACCTCACCTTTGTTCTCCGGCCAGAGCATCCCCTGAAGGCCCCACCACCCCATGCCCCGCCCCCCTGACCTGAGCTTCCTCTGCCGCAGGCAGCGCTGCAGGTGGGTGGGCACGGCGAGCGGCTGACGCAGTGCCGTGAGGTGGTGCTCACCACGTTCAAGGCGATCCCGGTGCAAGTAGATGGTGAGCCCTGCAGGCTTGCTGCCTCACGCATTCGGATCACGCTGCGCAACCAGGCCACCATGGTGCAGAAGGCCAAGCGGCGGAGCGCTGCCCCCCTGCACAGCGAGTACGTCCCCGCCCCCAGCCACCACTTGCTGCTGGCCAGACGTCAAACACTACAGTTCCCGGGCCTTGGTTTCCCCAGCTGTTCAAGGGGCTGACAGGGCCTGGGCCTCTGCCCAGGGCAGTTGGGAGTGGGAGGCCTCCCTCTCATGCTGAGCTTGGCGTCCAGCCCAGGGTTGGTGCCCTGGGGCAGGGCCTGTCACTGAGCCCCCTTCCTGCCCTTGTCCCTCAGCCAGCAGCCAGTGCCCGAGCAGCTGCGGATCCAGGTGAGCAGAGTCAGCATGCATGACTACGAGGCCCTGCATTATGACAAGGAGCAGCTCAAGGAGGCCTGTAAGTGAGAAGCCAGGGCAAGGCAGGGGCAGCGGAGCAGTGGAGGCCCCTGAGGGCAGGACAGTGGGCTGCAGCCACCTGCTGACGGCTTGTTCTGTCCTCCAGCCATGCCCCTGGGCACTGTGGTGGTCCCAGGAGACAGCGACCTTGAGCTCTGTCGCACCCACATCGAGAGGCTCCAGCAGGTAAGGGGAGGGCCTGGCTGAGAAGGTGGCAGGGAAGTGATGGCCAGCCGCCTCTTCCCCGTGCGAGTCTGTGTCTGGGCCCACCTGCCCCAGGTCTTTTTCTCCCTGGCCCCAGCTCTCTCTCAGCCCTCACCTTTTCTCTCTCAGCAGGAGCCCAATGGTGCTGGAGCCAAGTCCCCAACGTGCCAGAAACTGTCCCCAAAGTGGTGCTTCCTGGACGGTGAGTCCTGCCCTGAAGGGTCAGCACCTGGCAGTCCCCAGCCCCATCCTGCCGCCTCCTAGGAGAGCCTGGAGTGGGGAAGCAGAGGCCCTGGGCCTGGGCAAGGACCCCCTCATCCTCAGCCAACTGACTGTCCCTCTTCTTCGCAGCAACCACTGCCAGCCGTTTCTACAGGATCGACCGGGCTCAGGTGAGCCACTGCAGCTTCCAAGGACCTGGCAGTGCCTCTCCTGGGGAACCTTCCCTGTTAGTCGATCTGTCCACAGCCAGGCTGGCCCCTGCCTCCTGCATACCCCACAGTACCCTCACACTTGTCATGGCCACGGAGGGGGTGTGGCCCTGTCCTCCAAGCTGGAGTGCGCAGGGGTGGTGCCAGCATGAAAAGGGGGCCTGTGCTCCTGAGCCGTGCTGGGTGGGTGGGAGGGCCTCGAAGCACAGGAGTGATCCGGGAGACAGGAGAAAAGGCACTTCTGGCCAGGGGCCGGGTCGCCTGGATAGAGGTGTGGTGGGAAGAAGTGGATGAGGTGGTAGGCCAAGTGTGCAAGGTCAGGGGCAGGCCTTGAGTGGCAGGAGTGGAGAGGAGGAGCGTGAGGAGGTAAAGGTGAGCAGGGTCTAGCAGGGCCACCTCAGCTGGCCACCTCCTTTTGGTTTTCATGCTCCATAGCAGAGGCTTCTCCAGGTATGCCAGCCTTGCTGCCCTGACCCGACCCTCCCCACCCACAGGAACACCTCAACTATGTGACTGAGATTGCACAGGACGAGATTTATATCCTGGACCCCGAGCTGCTGGGGGCATCGGCCCGGCCTGACCTCCCCACCCCTATCTCCCCTCCCCCCACCTCCCCCTGCTCACCCACGCCCCGGTGAGTCCTCCACTCCCCCGGGGACGCCTGAATTCCTGCCTCTAGCCCAGCCCCTTCCCTGAGCACCAGACACACACCTCCAGCTAGCTGCCCACCAGCCTCTCCACTGGCTGACCAAATGGCGTCAGTGAACCTGGCCAAAACCCAGCTCAGGCTTCCACCCTGACGGTTCCGGTCTTGCCCATCTGCCCGGTGCTCAAAGACCTGGGCTCCATCCCTGACTTCTTTCTTCTCCCAGCTCTACATCTAATCCTTCAGCAAGTCCTGTCAGCTCCCTTAACATCCGAGCGCTCCTCCCCACCTCCCCCACCCCATCCAAGCCACCACACCCCCCGCCACCATCTGTTGTACTGCCTTGTGTACACTCGTGCCCACTACAGCCCATTCTCCACTTGGCAGCCTAAGAGGCCTGTAAAGTTGCAGACCACACCAAACTGCTCCTCAGCCTAGAACCTTCCCTCTCAGCAGCCCTGAGCTCAGTCGTGCGCAGCCTGGGTCTGGTTGCTTCTGACTGCACCAGAGCCTCTCTCCCTCATTATCATCACAGGCCAGCCCCCCTCACCTCTGTTGTTCTCTGAGACCTCAAGTGTGCCCACCTCAGGACTTTACCATTCCCTCTACATAAAACACACTTACCCCACCCTTCACAGAGCTGCTCCCCTGTTCAAATCTCAGCTCAGCATTCCTCCTCAGGGAGGTCTTTCCTGGGACCCCGTTTGAAGCTGCCAGCCTCTCTCCCAGTCGTTTGGTTACACTGCCCTGTTTTGTGTTCTTCAGAGCACTTATGGATGTCAAAGTATTTATTTACTTGTGTGTCTCCTGCATTAGAATGTAAGCTCCCTGAGAGCCAGTCCCCCATCTGTCTTGTTCACTGCTGTACCCCAGTGCCTAGACCAGAGATTGATACGTAGTAGGCACTCAATAAAACTGTTGAAAGAACGAAGGGCACCCCAGGCTGGGGCTGGGTAGGGGCCAGCCAGCCATGCTGTGCATCCCATCTCATCCTGCTTTGTCCGCAGGTCGCTGCAAGGGGATGCCATGCCCCCTACAGGTGAGGCCTGTCCCTCCGGGGCCCTCTCCTCTCTCCCTGGTTATAGGAAGGAGGCTGGCTGGGGTGGGTGGTGCAGGCCCAGACACAGCCTTAGCCTTGCACAGACGAGTTCACATTTGCACGTCAGCCTCCATACACGTGCCCCAACAGATCCACCTCCCTGCACACAGTGCAGCTTCCCTGTGCTCGCACATGCGCGCACACAAGGCCACCCTGCAGAGTGTAATGGGCAGGTGTTCTGTGCAGGTGAAGAGCTGATTGAGGCTGCCAAGAGGAACGACTTTTGTAAGGTACCAGCCCCAGGGCTCCCGTGGGCTGCAGAAGAGGGCTTTTGGGCTGAGCTGAGAGCTGGCCTGTTCAGGCACTGTCATTGTCCACCTTCAGGGTCACTATGATGATTGTCCCATTCCCCGTTGCGTATGCCCCCGTCCCTGCCCAGGCTATAATAGGTAACTCTTAGCTTGGGTCCCAGGCCAGGCTCTAAGGAGGAGCCTGTGCTAAGAAAGGAGTGAATCTTCCAGGAGCCACAAGCCCCAGGGCCTGGTTGTCAGTGTTGCTGGGACCACAGAGTGAGAGAAGCTGTTGCCTCTCCCCTGACACTGCAGAAAGGCCCCCCCGAGGCCTCTAGGGAGGGATGTGCACGAGTGCACTAGCATTAGGCCCTGTGCCGGTGGACGTGGCTGGAAGGAGGGGTGGCCCCGTGGAACCCCAGCCCGCTCTGCCTCCCACCCCCAGCTCCAGGAGCTGCACCGAGCTGGAGGTGACCTCACACACCGGGACGAGCGGAGCCGCACGCTCCTGCACCATGCCGTCAGCACTGGCAGCAAGGAGGTGGTCCGCTACCTGCTGGACCATGGTGAGCTGAGGCCCGGGATCAGGGCTGGGGGCTCTGAGAGAAGGCAGCCAGGCTGCTCTGACTCCTCCCCTTTCCTCTAGCCCCCGTGGAGATCTTAGATGCTGTAGAGGAAAAGTGAGTAGCTGGGCAGTGGAGGGCCTGGGTTACTCTGGAAAGCGCTCCCGTGTGGGCAGTCTGGTCAGAGCCCCTAAACCCTTCCTGGCCATATCTACCATCCTCTGGGTGGCCCTCCCCCTTGCCCCAGCATCCTGAGCTTCCTGCCCTTTCTGATGGCCCTCGGGAAACGGGAGGGCCCAGAAGACTGGCTGGGTCCACAGCACGCCTCTGCTCCCCCAGCGGGGAGACATGTCTACACCAGGCCGCGGCCCTGGGCCAGCGCACCATCTGCCACTACATCGTGGAGGCCGGGGCCTCGCTCATGAAGACGGACCAGCAGGTGAGCTGGCCAGCAGGGCCGGGGTAGGCAAACCCCACCATTCCCTGTGGGGGATGGGCAGCTTGCAGCAATTTGAAGCTGCCCTTCAGTCAACATAGAACAGACGCTGGGAAACCAGAGCCAGCAGGACAGGGCTGGTCCCCTCCCCCAAGGCAGCCAGGAGGGGACCAGCCCTGCGCTCTGAGCCTGGGCTGACCCGCAGCCCTCCTTGCAGGGTGACACTCCCCGGCAGCGGGCTGAGAAGGCTCAGGACACAGAGCTGGCCGCCTACCTGGAGAACCGGCAGCACTACCAGATGATCCAGCGGGAGGACCAGGAGACAGCCGTGTAGCTGTGAGGCCCACGGCGGGCAGCCGAGGAGGACAGTGCCCGTTGGAGGATGAGCGCCCTCCCTGCCCACCTCACTGGCACATTCCACTTGGAAGCCACGGGGGGACCCAGGCCCCAGGGAAGGAGCCCCGTGCTACCCCTGCCGAGCCGCCCAGACCAAGGCTGGACTCTGAGGAGCTTGGAGTCTCACCTGTCCCCCTCAAGGCCCCAGCCTGCCCCAGAGGCTCAGAGGGGAACAGGAAACCAGGCTCGGCCACGCCAAGGCGGCCTCAACCTCATTGCAGGCGATGCCGTCCTGGAGTTAGGGGCAAGGGGGTGGCCAGAGGGGCTCTGAGTCGGTGTCACAGAGGAGGCCTTCAGCAAGAGGTTTCCTAAGCCACCTGGTCATTTGGGGCCCACCCTGAGGCTCCAGGAGATCAGCCCCTCTCCTGCCCTGACCCCATCCTCCCGGAAACACAAAGCCTGCTGCATTTGCCTGCCGCTGCCCTGCTTGGCACCTCCCCCCGAGACCCTCCCCCTGTACCCAGTAATTTCATCGGAACTGTGTGGTCTGGGGGGTGGGGGCAGGGCTCTCACGGTGACATGTTTACAGCTGGGTGTGACTCAGTAAAGTGGACTTTTTTTTTCCTTTCTGCTCTTCTCTTTTTGGGGTGGGGAGGACTTCGAGGAGCAGCAGGGTCGGCTGGGTTGTCCCCAGGGCGAGGAGTGGGCACCGTCAACACAGACCCTTTTTCCTGGGGGCTCTGGTTCCGTTTGGGGGTGGGAGCCAGGGTCTGCCCAGGAGCTGACCTGTGCCCAGCGTCCTAGCTCGACGGGCCGGAGGAGGGGCCGGTTTCCTCCAGCTTCCCGCTTTCCGCTGGGGACGATAACAATGAAAGTGGAAGAGGTGGGGCGGAGGAGGCCCGGGGCCTTTTGTCCATTTGCCCTGTGGCCTTGAGCAAGCCCCCTCCCCCAAGCCTCAGTTGCTGCCGCTGTTTAGCGGATCGGGTGAAGTAATCCCTGAGGTCTCAGGGTTGGAGGGGGTGGGCATTGCAGCCACCTCCGTGGCTGGGTCTGGAACTTCTCAGACGGCTCTTGTCAGCTTCAGGTTTTACCAAATCCAGGTCTGCGGGCTCCTCCTTCCCAAGCCGCAGCCCGCCCAGCACGCGCTTCGCGACACGCGCTTGGGCCCTCTGCGCACCAAATCCAGGCGATTTCTCGGGTTCCCCGGTCTCAGGCGCCCCCTAACCCTGAGCAGAGAATATCCCTCCAAACTTGGGGAAACAATCCGAGATGGGGCCTTGCGCTCCTGCCCCACCAACAGGGGGGCGCTGAGGGGCCCAGCAGACCCTGCGAGGTGGAGCGGGGCCTCGACAGGGTCGGGTCGCGCGCCGGCCACACGGGGTTAACAGAGCAGCTGGCGCTCGCGGCGCCGCAGGCCGCACACAGGTTCGAACGCGGGGCGCCTGGGCCCATGACACACCCGGGGCTCCGTTCTCCCTCCTGTTTCCGTCGGAGGCTCTGCTGCGGGAAGGAAGCCTAGGACAGAGCGCGAGCCAGGCTGCAGGCGTCCTGCGGAGAAAGGGGGCGGCCCCGGGTCGGGGAATCCGGGGAGGTAGCAGAGGGCGGGGGCAGAGGGAGCCCGAGATTAGGGGCCGCGGGCAGGGAGTCCCACTGGGCGGAACGCAGACCTCGGGCCGGGAGGGCACAGGCGGGGCGCGGCGAGGTGCAGGGACGGCCCCGGGCAGACGGGACAGACCCGCGGGGCGGGAGCGGAGGCGGGGACGCTGGGGTCGGGGGCGGTGCGGGTTTGAGGGGAGGGGGCGGGGCGGGTCCTTCCCGGGTGGGAGAGGTTGGCGGGGGCGGGGGCCCATGTGACCGGCTCAGACTGGTTCTGGAGACAAAAGGGGCCGCGGCGGCCGAAGCGGGACGGGCCCGGCGCGGGAGGGAGCGAAGCCGCGCGGGCAGCGAGCGAGTGAGCGCGCGGGGCATCGGAGGGCGCGCAGCGGCTCGGCCCACCGGCCATTGCCGACTTGGGGGCCAGATGCGGGGTGGGGGCCTGAGCCGCGCCCCGGGCTCGAGGCATCCCCCAAGGAGAAGCCTCCGGCTCTGCGCCTGGGCGTCCGGGGCTCGTGGCGAGGGGCGGCCCGCTCACGTCGTCCTCACGCCGCCACATTAGCGGCCCTAGCCTTGGGGCCTGGATAATGGGGGATGAGCGGGTGGGAAGTCCATGCACGCGGCCCCCCTTGGGGAAGCGGACGGCGGGGGCGCTCTGATCCGTGCTCTTCCCCCAGGATGCAGCACCGAGCCTTCCTCCTCCTCGCCCTCCTCGCCCTATTGGCGCTCACTTCCACGGTGGCCAAAAAGAAAGGTGATGTCTGTGTGCGGGGGGAGAGGGTGGTAGGAGGAGGGCTGGGGACGCGCAGGTGAGGCCCGGCGATCTCTGGGCTGGCCGCCTGAGTTCCGAGCCCGAAACCCCAGCTTAGGGGTTCCCCGAGGGAGTCCCCCCACGACCCTGGTCCTGAACTCTGTTGCGCGCGTTGCAGACAAGGTGAAGAAGGGCGGCCCGGGGGGCGAGTGCGCTGAATGGACCTGGGGTCCCTGCACCCCTAGCAGCAAGGACTGCGGCGTGGGTTTCCGCGAGGGTACCTGCGGGGCCCAGACTCAGCGCATCCGGTGCAGAGTGCCCTGCAACTGGAAGAAGGAGTTCGGAGGTGAGGTGGGGCGCAGGCGCAGAGGGGGCACAGGCTCTCTGAAACCTTCGCAGGCTGGAGGAGGGAGGCCACAGGCCGTCCGACTCCTGAGCCGGGCACTCTCCCGACAGCCGACTGCAGGTACAAGTTTGAGAGCTGGGGTGTGTGTGATGGGGGCACAGGCACCAAAGCCCGCCAAGGCACCCTGAAGAAGGCACGGTATAATGCCCAGTGCCAGGAGACCATCCTCGTGATGAAGCCCTGCACCCCCAAGACCAAAGCCAAGGCCAAAGGTCAGCCGAAGGAATGGGTTCTTCGCAGGGGACTGTGCCCCACCTGTGAGGGGAATGGTTAATGCTGAAGTTTTGAGTCCTGATCCTGGTGGGTGACCTCATGACATCTCTGGTCTCAGTTTCCCTATCTGTAAAGAAATCTTCGAGACGGGACGTACAAGAGGTGGCCCACAAAATGTGATCAGGAAATGTTAAATCCTTGCTGGCCCAAATGGGGACAAACTCATGCCGTTACTATTGAAGCACTTGGCTTAGGACCCAGGGAAATTGCCCTGGAAGGGCTTGGCTTTGTCCCCTCTCCATCCACCGGAGGGAGCGTTTGGTCAGATTGGCCATTTCAGCCATGCTTCCCCCTCCCTTAGCTCAATCCTGACTGACTCAAAACAGCATAGAGAGGCCAGCAGGGCAGGGGTGAATCGGCCACTTCTGAGGTGACTGTTTCAAGGGCTGCTGTGACCAGGACTGGGACTTCAGTGCAAGTCTGATCCCAAGTGAAGATTTAGGTAGCAGGGGGTGGGGAATGTTGGGCATCAGAATGGCTGCCCTATCCCACCAGCTTCAGGGTCAGCTCATCCAGAACCACTAGGGGGCAGAATTTCCTCCTCTCCCAGGTGTGTGTATGGCGTGTGTGGCGGAGTGGGGTCTCTACTAGGTTGCCCTAACCCTGCTAACAAAGTCTATCTTTCTTGTTTTACAGCCAGGAAAGGGAAGGGAAAGGACTAGAGGCCAGGCCTGGATGCCAAGGAGCCCCTGGCTTACCCTCTGCAGGCCCAAGATATAACCCACGAGTGCCTTTTTTCTACTCATTAGCCTTATCAATCACACCTTGCCTCTTCCCCTTCACTCCTCCACCCCCACTCCTAAGCACCCAACGTGGAGGGGGACAAGGGATTCCGGGAAGCTCGGGCCCCTTCCCAAAGGTATTTGATTCTTGGTTGTTGTCCGCCCCCCTCCACCCCCTTGTTCTTCCCCACAATGACGCCATTACTAAGAAACAAATAAAATAAACCATCTTTTTTTTCCCAATAAAAGCTTTTCTTTTTTAATATATAAAAGCCCCTTCCCAGGGAGTTTGCTGTGGAAATTTGTGGGCGGGGGGAGGGGGGTGGAATGGGGAGAAAGACCAGACTGAAGGAACCAGTGGCTTTAAGGGTCTGGGGGCTTGGCAATGACTGTCCCCCAGAGCTCATGGAAACAGCAGAAGGTTCATGAAAATTTATCCCAGGGCCCCTTACTGAACTTTGAACCAACCAACACCCTGCCCCCAGTCCCTTAAGCCTTTCAGCCCTCAGCTGTCCGGGGGCCACTCCAGCGCTGGGAGAAGGAACCTGAAAGACAAACCAGAACTAACTCTCCCACCTCAGCCCTACTCAGTCAAAGGTCTTTTGGTCCAGCCCACTCTCAATCAGGAGGGTCCTACCCATTGGGGAGAGTACAGATGGGGACTGTCTGCCTGCTGCTTCCCCCACACTGTCACTGAGGCCTGTCTGGGTCAACGAGTCCTCCCCCATTCTCTTCCCTTGGAACCCTTGGGCCTCCCTGGAACTCCGCAGAGACCTGATGTCTGAAGAGGGCAGGTGGGAACCCCGCTCACCACAGCCCCACCCAGACTCGGATGTGTGACCTGGGACAAGCCCTCTTGGAGTGGGAGGTGGGGGTTTTCAGAGTAATGTGGATCACCCTTGGCTCGGCCTGGGGCCCCAGGGGGCTAGACCTCAGGTTCCTGAGTGTGAATCCCTGAACCTCCCAGCTGCCCCACCCTGCACGTGATGAGAGCTGTGGGGGGCAGGTCTCTGAACACCCCACAGACCAGAGTCTGGCTGAATAGCTGCAAGGAGGGGAGATTTCTGCCCCTGAAGTGGGATTTAGGGGGGAAGGGGCTGAGCCTACATGCGGGGGTGGGGGCGGAAAGCACCAGTTATAGCAGAATGGAGGACCTCACCCTTCCACCCCCTTCCGTTCCTAAGGACTGGCTCCTCTGCTCCTCTCAAGAGGGGTCCTAGCTTCTGCTCCCTTCCAGATGTCAATTCTTTGAG